GGCTAGGTAGTTAAAAAAAATCCCATTTACTGTGCCAAGCAAGTCTCCTTTCTCCAGTGGGGGAGGCATTCCTGGCTGGGCCCTTGCCCCCTGGGCTGAGGGTTGTGCAGGCTTTGGATAGGGCTGCTTGTGGGGGGAGTGCAGCTTGGCTGTTTCCGACCCAGAGGTGGCAGCTGCGGGGCCACCTTTCCAAGCTCAGGGCTGAGTGATGTGTGAGTGATACATGTGTGTACTTTCTCTTTCCTGGTGATTTTCAGGTTGGAGATCATTATTTTGGCCAAGGCTGGAGGTGAAGGAAAAGAAAATTGGATTCCCCTTCCTTCCTGAGCACTCTTCTAACCCCAGGCTCTTGAGGGCCAGGGAGTGGGCAGGAGTGGAGGGAATTATCTCAGAGTTTCACACAGCCAGGAGAAAGGAAATGAGGGCGTTCAGCAAGAAACTGGCAAGGACCTTTACTCCCAATGCCACTGACCCCATCTACACTCCAGTTTCCACTTAGAAAAGGGACAATCTGAGATACAGACAAATCAAACTGGCAGGCAGATGAATGCGTGCACATTTAGAAACATTTCACAATGTCTAGCTACAAGCTCTTCTCATCTCTGTTCAGTCGGGTGGGTCCCTTAGGACCACACCTGGAGCCAAGTCCGTGTTATTGGATATATAGCCTGAGAGTAATAAAACTGCATTTAAAACATTCTATGTAATACAGACTTCCTCCAAATCTGATTGCTGTCCTGTACTACAAAGACAGGCCTGGCATACAGTAAGTGATGGCGACTTTCCTGGTTGTCCACTCCCCCCCCCTCTTTACCCCAGCTAAGGTGTCCAGGCAGAAGGAGATGCTTAATGACTATGAAGACTGCCTGATGGAGGAGGAGGAGGGGTGGGAAGAGGAGGAGGAGGAGGAAGAAGTAGTCAGGACTGAGAACTACTATTAGTAAATGCTTATATCCGCATCCCCTTCCAGCCCTCCAACCCCAGGGAGGCATCCTTTCCCTCCTCCCTACTCACCTCCACCATGGTATCTTATTGGCTTCCCCCTCCACATTCCTACTTCCTCTGCCCATACTGTGAATTTATATCAGATCTGACCTGTTTCCAAACATTGGAGGTCAGGGGAGGTCCCTGCCCCAGCAATAGGACTTTTCTCCAGTCCAGCTCCCTTAGGGGCGGCTCTGGATCTGGTGATCCTACTCGCCCTAGACTCCCTAGGGTGTTGCAAGGGTGGATATTTGGAAGGCATTCTGAGGTGCCTGGCAGAATGGCTCCATAGAAGCCAGAACTCAGCTCTCTGGCTTATTGTCCTAGGCTTTGTGAGATGTCACTCCATCTGAGACGCTCTGATCATCAGGGTCACGTGGATTCAGACACTAAACTGCTTTGTTTCATTTCTCACCCCTAAACCCATCTGCTCCTTGGCCAGCCTTTAGTGGGAGCTCCTTCAGTGACCGCCCCCCCCCCCAGGAGATAGGCTGAGGGGAGAAGAAAAGAGGGAGCGGGGATACAGAAGCCAAAAGGAAAGAGAAGAGAGACAGAGACTGAGAGGAATGTTCCGAAATGGTTTGTGCCTGCTCAGAAGTGAGGGAATTTCACCAGTCTCCATTTTGGGATCTACTGACTACAGAGATTTTTCAAGAGCCAGATGTTTAAAAGTCCTGGCAGTTTTTGAGTCAGTCCTGAAGATTCCAGTTGAATTTACCCTGCATGTTTTAGACTCACTGGAATCGTTGGTTAAAGCCAGGAAGATAAGAGTCCCTCCAGTGGCATTTATCTAGGAGCTGGGTGTGGGGAGGTGTCACTCACAAGGTTTGTACCTTTTGTTGGGAGGGAGCAGCTGAGTTCTGCTACCCCTGGAAATCTGCCTTATTGGCCTGGCATCCTAAGGATGTGCCCAAATTGCTTAGTAGAGGTCATTCACATCCTAAATGTCAAGTAATGGAATGTATGCCCTTTTAGGATTCATAAAAGATGGACACTTTCCCAAATCCTGGGTATGCATGGAAGTATCCACCTTCAGTTTTAAGAATTAAAAATAAATCTATTTCTCAAATAGTTGTTTTTATAGTTTTATCCTCTTATCCAGCTTCCACCATGTTATGCTAATATTTTCTTCTACTGGTCCGTCATAATGACATGTGATTATTTTCAAGTCAATGCTATGATTACAGATTCCACAGAGCAGTAACCACAAAGTCACTCAACAAAGTATTCTATTCACTACCTATGATTCACTCGGCACTGTGCCAGGTACTATTGTAGATACAAGAAAAAATGTAAGAAATGTGTCTTGCCCTCTGGAGGCTTAAAATCTAAGTTAAGGAGACAAGATATATGCATTTGAAATATCTTGAGAACAGTAAGAGATAGTGCATCATCAAATGTGAAATGAAAATGGCATAGTAGCAATTCCTATGAGTTATTGAGGCCTTCCTACGGGACAGGCACCGTGCTAAAGGCATCACACTTATAATCCCATTTTAATCTTCAAAACAACCCTTTGGGATAGGTTTTGTTCATATCTCCATTTTGGAGCCAAGGGAACTCAGGTTTGCAAAGAGTAAATCATTTGCTGCAGCACAGTTGATAAGGGCAGGCAGAGCTAAGATTTTATCATCAACTGTTTTATTTTTAAAACACTTCAAAACTATAGGTAAGGTGAAAAAAAATACCATAATGAAGACCCATACATGCCTTACGTATATTCACCAACTATTAACATTTTACCACATTTGCTTTATCATTCTCTTTCTCGCTCTCTCTATATATACAAACACATACATACACACACACTCATATCTATTTTTGGACCTATTTGAGCATAAATTGCAAACATCATTACATTTCCCCTCTAAATACTTCAGCATAGGCCGGGCGCGGTGGCTCACGCCTGTAATCCTGGCACTCTGGGAGGCCGAGGCAGGCGGATTGCTTGAGGTCAGGAGTTTGAAACCAGCCTGAGCAAGTGCGAGACCCTGTCTCTACTATAAATAGAAAGAAATTAATTGGCCGACTAATATATATAGAAAAAATTAGCCAGGCATAGTGGTGCATGCCTGTAGTCCCAGCTACTCGGGAGGCTGAGGCAGCAGGATTGCTTGAGCCCAGGAGTTTGAGGTTGCTGTAAGCTAGGCTGACGCCACGGCACTCACTCTAGCATGAGCATCAAAGCAAGACTCTGTCTCAAAAAAAAAAAAAAATACTTCAGCATATATCTCCTAAGAAAAAAGACATTTTCTTACAAAAATCACAATGCAGTTATCACACCTCAAAAATGTAATCAGAGGCAGGATTTGAACCCAACGCTGACTCCAGAGCCCTAACCACAAGCGCTGTGAGAGTTCAGTAGAAGGAACCAACAGTGCAGTCTGGGAATTATAGGATGGATTTTCTGTGGACCCTACTCTTGATTATTCGAAGTGATGGAAGGAAGGGATTTGGCAAATAATCACAAAGCGTGCATAATCAAACAACAAAATTCCATGGTTTTCAGAGTGTGTTCTATTTGGGTGGGAGGGGAATGATACAGATTTGCCTTCCTAATTAGCTTCTTCTCTGATCAACATTAAAATTGGTCTTTCCTTAACCACCCACTGACATTACAACTGGGGTAGGTACTCCAGGAGTTACTCTTTGATTAAAAACATAATTTCAGCAAATCCACTAAGTGGGTAAGCCACAGCCACATATGAATCATGGACAACAAATCACAAATTCTAGCTAGAATTTCTAGGCACAAGCCAGGATTCAGCATCTACAGTCTTTTTTCAGCTACGTCCCCCCTCCCCAAAGTTAAGAAGAGAGGGTCCCATGCACTGCCCTGTTCCAGAGACCCTGGTCTACTTACCCAGTGAAATTCTAGAAACAAGGTGTTGCCTATTTTAGATGGAAGGAAAAAGCTGGCCCTATGCTACCAGACTGGCCAAGACCCCCTGAAAGGCCCCCAGCCTGGATTTTTTTCTTTCTTCTTATTCTTATTTGGGTCAGCCTGATTAAGAAAACCTGTTAGATTGGGCCTGGATGGGTGGTGTTTAATAGCTCCCACCCATGTATGCACAGGAGAAATCTTAACCTTTTTAAACACTTGATTCCTCAAAGTCATTCTAAAAAGCCAAAAGCCTTCATCTGCATTTGCTTTGCTTTTCACACTTCCACTAGACACTTCAAAAATCAAAATACTGCAAATCTGTGTGTCTCAGAGGCCAGGGTAGAGACACACACCCCTTTACAGAACTGGGAGTGAGAAAGAGTCCCAACTGGGCCCTCCAGGCAGCAGATATTAGGTCACATCTTGCATTTTCTCTCTCTCCATTTCTTTAGGTTTCCTGCAGACACAATCTGATCAGCAACATCTGTGAATCCAGGTAACTTAAGCCATGTTATAACTGGGGTCCACTTTGTATACACAGTCTTTGGTAGGGACTTTCATCTCAGGGCAGGAAAGATTTCACAACTTTAAAGAAATTCTTGATTTTTTGGTTTGTGGCCCCCAGCTGGTTTAGGGAGTAAATTGTTTTCCTTAGGATGGAACAAGAACAATTTAGAACGCTGTTAAAAACAGTGTTCAGATCGAGGTGGGAATGCTTGCAGCCTTGCCATTTAAATGTCCTTTCTGCCCCAGCCTCTCTCTTTCCCCCTCTGCTACCTGCTCTGCACATCCTGCTCAATCTGAATGCCAAAAGGCAATTTATTTACATTTCCTTTCCAAAGCCCTTGAGTGTCCTTCCCCACCCGGATGAAAGCCTCTACTTTCTCTTTAGAGTTTCCCCTCCAAATTACTCCTCACTCTCACTAGCCCTGCAGGGACACAGAGAGGCTAAGAAAGAGCATCTGGTATTTTGCACTAAGGATGCTGTGGTCGCGGGAAGTTGGAGGCAGAGGAAAAAGGGGAGTTAGTTCCTAACCATGTAAGGAACAAGGCCAGCCCTTTTTGGACCCAGATCAGAAGACAGCGAGAGGCCTTGGAGAAGAAACTTTATTTGGCTGGTTATTTCTTTAGGCCGCGGGTCTGGGGCTGCCTGCGTGTGGGCGCTTGGAGTGCAGCGCTGCCCCCACGTGGCAGCCACCAAGGGCTTGCCCGCAGCGCGGGCTCCCTGCACCCCAACAGGCAAGGCGCGCAACTGGCAGCAGCTCCCTCCGAAGCACTATGGCTGGCTTTTATGCTTGCCTGGAGACCAGAGTAAGTGGCGGATGCAGCCGACCTGCTCCCACTAGACACCACGGAGTGAAGGGTGGCAGAGCGCCGGCTGCCTGTGCCGGGGGGCCCTCTACTCGCCTAAGTGGGGCTCTCGCCCCAAGAGAGGCAGAGAGGAGCAACCCAGGGCTGGGTGGCGGGCACCGCCGCTGCCTCGGGGCTCGAACTTGCTGCCTCGCGGCTGGTGTGCATCCACCAGTTGGAGGCGGTGAGCTCCCGGGAGGGCTCGCGCAGGTGTGCGTGTGCGTGGGAAAGCTCGGTGGCGGGGGCGCCCTCAGCCCTGCTTGCAGGACTCAGCGGGTTGGGGGCACAGACCGGTCCACCCCGCGTGGGGCAGCGCCGGCAGGTGGACGCCGCGAGCCTTCTCTGCCTTTCAGGCCGCCTCTCCTTCCCGCCGGCGCCCCTGCCTGGCTGGCCTGAGCCTCAGGGAGCGAGGGGCCTGGCCGGGAAGGCGGCGGATTCCCGGGACTGCTGCAGTTCTTGTAGATTACTTGCAAAGGCCAGAAGTAGGGAAGCACCGAAGAAGGGGAAGCTTGGCCGAGCCACAGTGACTGGTGTGGAAATACTGGAGTTATTCCTGGGGTTTCCAGTCGTGTGCTTCTGATTCCCGACCTCTTGGTGCAAGGGTACTTTGTGGCACTCCTGTAGCCTTAGCTTGGCCAGAGTTTGTAAGAAATGGCTCAAGAGTCTGAGAAGGTGTCAATACAAGTGGTTCGATAAAAAAATAAAAGAAAAAAAAAGTAAAAAATTAAAAAGAATAATAAAAACAAAAAAAGAGTCTGAGAAGGGAGAGCTGCACGAGGAGGATGTTTATAAAACAGGCTAAGGGGAGAAACGGGGCAAAGCTATAGGTTCTGACTTGCATATGTCAAGAAACCTAGCCAACGTTGACTTAAAATAAAGCACCCTACAAACCTGGATTTTGCAAGGCTAATTTCATTGGCTAATAACAACATTAAAATAACTGTCGCAGTAATAATAATGTCAAATAATGTAGTTCCATTACACTGGGACATGGTGTTCTGGCCCTAGTCCTGCAGCCACGTGACTGAGAATGACCTTGTAGAGAGACACAAGGGAGGGGAGCAGAGAGAGGGGAGTTTGGATGAGTGGAGAAAATCACCTTAAATTTTTTGAGTTGTCTTCGTTTTCTGAATTTATTTCAACCTATGCTGTACCTGCAGTCTCCCAGTCACTTGATGGGGTATTACCTCCAAAAGGTGTATTCTTACTATGCTTCTGCAGTGTTGTTTTTGAATGTGTGTGCATATGTGTGTCTATTTAAAGCAGTGCCGACAGGAAGAAGATATTAACCCAAATGGATTTAGTGATATGGTTAATTAGTGGGTATGCAAGTGTACATGATTATTTCCCATCTTCATTCATGGAGCTGACACTCTTCATCTCCTTTAGCTATTCCAACCTGGAATCACAGCCAGAACCTACCCCCCACCACACACACAATGCAGGTCTCCAGTAGCTGAGGGTTGCATGGGTTCTCCTGGCCCTGCAGTTCCCTCCCACCACGGAAACACACTGTATGGACCAGGGCTGGCAGCCTCTGGCCTGCAGGCCCAAAGTGGCATTCCGTGGGATTTTTAGGGGCACTCCACCTGGTGGTCCCAGCATGGAGGTGTGGGTAGACTGTCCCTTTCTGCTTCTTTCTCAGGATCAGCACCACAGCATGCTTGCACTCTTCTGGTGGTGAGTGGGCCTGGACTCTTGAAACAGCACTGATCCTCATACAAAAGTGTCATTGGCAACTAATTTTAAAACCTTGTCTCCATGGCTGTCACCTCACTGTTGTGCCCTCAATCTATGGCCTTGTATGGGTGCCCTGGAAATGACAAGGCTTTCTCTGTGTAATTCACAGTAGCACCAGATGACAGAAAGGTTGAAGGTGAATGCTTTGGGAGCATGAGGGGAGATGATAATGACAACCTCCTTGATTCCAGGTATTCCAGATCCTTCCTCCCTGGGGCTCAGTGCTGTGCCGGTTTGTGTTAGATTCCATACTTACAAACGAACAAGGAGCCTTTCTTAGGTCCCCTTCATCCTAATGTCTGCTTTCTGTGGAGGACATCTGGGGCAGCCTAAGGTCTTTGGGGTGGGAAAGGAAGACACAGTGGACCAAAGGGCTTCTTTTCGTGGTCTCAGGTCCAGAAGTCTTGGCCTGAGTTCAAGTGATGGTTTATTGAATCTGGGCTGAAGGACCAGGAGAAATAATAAGAGGGTATTTGAGGAGAATAAAGAGCCAGGGCCTCTATACAGAAGTGACATGGAGGCCTTCAAGGAATAGGAGACTTGGTAAACATCAAAAAATAGTGTGTACCTATTCTGGCCCCCTAGGCTGTGCCCCCCCCCCCAGCTAACACGTTGCCTCCTGTGCCCCAGGGCCTAGCTCTTGACCAACTGACCTGCCATGGTAGGTTTGTGGGCGTTAAGGGATTAACTCCTGACAGTGTGCATCTCAATAGGACCTGGATGCTTTTGTGTCGCTCAGAGGATTCTATGGTCATCTAGGGGCACTGGCCAGCTTGGTGGGCCCTGCACACCATGCTAGTCAGCTTCTCTTACTGTAAGAACAGGATTCAGGAAGGTGAAGCTGAGAACTTTTGCAACAGGCACCTGACACCTTAGCAGGAAATAACTATTACAAATTATGTGCCAGCCTACTCCCCTTGGCTATAAAACTTCCCTGATGCCCCTGAAAGCAGTATGGGTTGCTATTTGAGATTAGAGGCCACAAATATTGACTTTTAATAAGCCCCAGTTGCTGATATTTAGAAGGTCCATGCATTCTTTCTTGGCCCTGGGTAGCTCCTTAGAACCCAGATGCTACAGAAGATGCAACCCTGCAGGTCTCTCCAGTGGCTGACAGTCTCGGGGCCATCTCCCCATCGCATCTGCAAGCGGTTCACCTGAGCACAAGGTCTAGCTGCATACCTAGCTGTGCCCAGGGAACCGTGATGGACATGAAATCTGTAAGGCAAATTTCAGCTGTCAGAAAGCACCAGAAATGTGTAGCTGCAGCTTGTCAGCCTGCCAGCTCAGACCCAATTTCTACTCCTCACTGTAATTAAGAGTGTCTAATGTGGCCATTATAGATCCCTTTGGCACTTGGCTTCCTTTTCTCCCTTCCTTCTTCCCTGTTTGTCCTTCCCTCCCTCCCTCCCTGTCTTCCTTCCTCCTCTCCCCTTCTTTCCCTCCCTCCTCCCTCCTCTCTCCCTTCCCTCCCTCTCTTCCTTCTTAGACACTCATTCTGGAACCTGCTTTTTTTCTTTTTTCTTTTTTTTGTTTCATGTGTCCAGCATGCTTTATTTTATTTATTTATTTATTTATTACTTTTTCTTTTCCCTTAGTTTTAGAAGAAAGGCTTATATTAACTCAAATTCCCTGGCAAGGGGCCCAGTTTGGGCATTGCATTTTGCTAAGCTGCATTCACCCTGTGGCATCTGCCTGTCTCAGTTTTCATTCATGAGAGCAATAGGAGAATTAATCGTGGGTGCTGAAGGAGTGGCAGGTAGTGATCCAGGCCCCCAGCGTCACCCTCTGAGGAGGTGTGGGGAAGGCTGGCTCTCTGGCAATTTCTTTTTTTTTTTTTTTTTTGAGACAGAGTCTCGCTTTGTTGTCCAGGCTAGAGTGAGTGCCGTGGCGTCAGCCTAGCTCACAGCAACCTCAAACTCCTGGGCTCGAGCGATCCTTCTGCCTCAGCCTCCCGAGTAGCTGGGACTACAGGCATGAGCCACCATGCCGGCTAATTTTTTTTTATATACTAATACTCAGTGGCCAATTAATTTCTTTCTATTTATAGTAGAGACGGGGTCTCGCTCTTGCTCAGGCTGGTTTTGAACTCCTGACCTTGAGCAATCTGCCTGCCTCGGCCTCCCAAGAGCTAGGATTACAGGCGTGAGCCACCGCGCCCGGCCTATCTGGCAATTTCTTGAATAAACTATTTGCCATATTTACCGATTTACTTAAAGTTTCTTTCTTTTGACTATTTACAACGTAGTTAAAATATTTAAGTCTTTACAAAAATTCATTTAGGAGAAAACGGTTTGAAAAGCTTTCAGAGATTTCTCAGAGGATGCAGTTGACAGGTTTCATTTGGTCTTTAGCAGCATTCTAAGGAGTGTTCCACTTGTTGTAGGGTGGTTTAGTTTCAGTGGGAATATATTAAGCATGCATATTATAAAGTATATTGTTTCATCAGGGCCAAAATTTCAGCATATTATATGGAAATTCTTATACTAGCTTCTTTTAAAAATTTTTATTATTTTTTAAATTGACAAATGAGTATTTGTATATATTTATGGTGTAGAACAGGATGTTGTGATATATGTATACACTGTGGGATGACCAAATTGAATTAATTAACATATCCATAACCTGAAATACTTATTTTTTTGTGCACTAGTTTTTCTGAATCCTTTGAAAGCGTATTTTCTGTTATGCCAACTTGAGCATTTTGGGGATTCTGTCACCAATTTCTCAAATAGCACAATGTTTTGTTGTTTGTTATTTCTGGAAATTAGTAGCCAAAATGTAGCATATGATGTAATTACTCCTGTCATTTCCTAATTGATTTTCTATGTTAACATTCTTTTAGCTTTTTTAAACCAATCTATTTCTTATCCTTCCTTCACACTTTCATAGTTGTGGTTAACAGATAGCAAATTTGAGGAACGAATCCTACAATACATTATAGTAATCCCTTCCTGGCATCTTCACTCTTCGTCCTGCTGTTTTAAATGGTTTTAATTCTTCATGAAATCTTCAATAGCTATTAAAGCCACTCATCAATACAAATTGCTATAAGCTTTACAATTTGCTAGAAGAAATGAGTTTCAGCCCATTGGCCTGCTTTCAGAAGGCCAGGTTGAGTTAGTGAAGGCTTGCCATTTAGGCCGGCTCGGTGGCTCACGCCTGTAATCCTAGCACTCTGGGAGGCCGAGGCGTGTGGCTCACGCCTGTAATCCTAGCAC